CACACACAATCTATGCGTTATTTGTTTGGGCGAAGAGCACGCATGCAATGTCTCCGAGGGGGCAATCGGCGTGCACCATGAGCGTTTTTTTCAAGGAAAAAGCTCCGCTCTCGTTTGTCTCTCTTTTCAAGGAAAGAGGGGCAGCCATCTACTTCCTGCGATTCAGGATCCGCCGCTGCTGAGGCACGGAGGAGAATGAACTCGGGATCGCATGTGGATCTGGCCGATGAGTTTGAAGAAGGCTTTACTTGCCGTGAAGCGGGTGAAGAAAATGTCATCGTGAGGTCATCTATTTAAAAAAAAACAAAAAAAAAAACATGAACGTTATATTTTTCTGGCCATAACCCTCCAGCTCAGGTGAGCCTTCCTTTCTTCCTGTTTTCCATACAGAGATTGAGAAGGAATAGAAGAGGCCGTTTTTCCTCACGCATCCATCGATTCCAGCATACGAGGTATGCCAACATTGAGGCGATGTGCGAAAGCGGTTATGAGAAGATGCCCCTATAGAGATACGCTGGCAAGCTATCTCTCTATGGGTGAGACGTCCTATAAGACTGCCCTCCTTGAAATATTGCTCGGATGCCAGGGCATACGCAGCAGCAGCAGGTCGGGCTGTCGCTTCATTGCACACGATGGTGATGCCCCAACTTCTCAAACATAGCGTTTTGGGATGCACCATTTCCATCTATGGGCTGCTCTTTCAGAGTGCCACAAGAACCCCTTAGAACTGTATTTTAAAATCCATGTTATGGTAAGTGTGCACTTGAAGTCTTTGTACACTTTCTAAAATCCACACTGTGGTAAGTTCGCACGCTAGTACTCTGCGTTCTTTTCTAAAAATCCTGCATGGTAAGAGCTACGCGCAGCAGCCTCGTGCTCTTTCTGAGTGGTTTAAAACCCCGGCTCCGCCTTGGGCACCACTCCTCCTATATATCCTCTGTATACCTACTTAACAGTTCCCTGAGTAGGGAACGAGACACTGCGTCCTCTAGGTTTCTTGCCATGCTTCGGACGCAAGCTTCAGACGAAGAAGTGGATGATGTGTTCTCCTGGTGCCTATTTATACTATAGTCGCACTGGTAGTGATGTCATGGCTGTCGCCGGCCAGCGTGTTGTTGGTGTTTTTTCAATGTATGCTTCAGACACGGGTCACAACGAGGCGTTCCCCATAGCGACCGCTAGAGGACGCAGTGTCTCATTCCCTACTCAGGGAACCATGGTTACATAAGTAACCTGAGACGTTTTATTGCGACTATAACAACTTCACAGAGAAGACCAAAGTGGCAAACAACCTGTAGTACATCTACATCCTTTTAGCTGTAAGAGCATATGTCGCACATACATCATAACCCACACAGGTCCACAACGGCTCAGTGACGGCAGCCATGGGAGCCATAATGAGGCGTAATGGGAGAACAGTTGCTGCCCTCACTGTAGCTCAGG